GCGGACGTCTGGCGGCCACGCGGTAGACGACGGCGAGTTTAAAATTGTCCGACTCGCACCCTTCGGGACCAACGCGTCTCGAGTTTGCCACTTTGGCCACTAGTGTCCGTCAACGACAACCGTTACAATTGTCGCGTGTACGTCGGCGGGGAACGCGCACATTACTTTGAGTTGGCCAACGCGGCGGCCGTTGCGCAGTGCGTCGCAAAAATAATAATTATCATTATTGTGTGCGAGTAAACGATAATACAGTCGAGTGGCGCACTATCGACGCCGCTAATTATCACATACTTTGTAAACGTTATTATTATTTACATTAGATACCGGGAAATCCGTTAATCGTAAAATAATTCATAACAAACGCATCAGCGACAATAACAAATCGTCGACGTGTTGCTGCATCGATGAGTACCGTATGGGAAAATGTAAAAAAAAATAACTAATTTATAATTGGACGGAAATATCATACGGTTGTATTTTTAACGGCGGGCAACGTACGTCACGTTGCCGTGTTAGTACTTCGTCGGTGTGTGCTGACGGTAAAAAAAAACATCTCGATCGGATCGACGCCGGTCGAGTTTTTAGCAAAAAACGACTGCGTGTATTTTATTCGTATAACTGCGCTGATTTGTCGCCGCGAAATTCGTTTGTCGTGTACACTTTTGTTTTGACCAGTACGCCTTTGAGAGCATTCGATTATTAGAATACTTTATTTGTCCGCCAAAACATTACAAGACAAAACTGTCTGACGCTTTGATTTACGTCATGACTTGTTAAACGTAAGCTTTTTTACTCTCCTAAAGGTGTCATTTTATTAGTGTACCAACAGTACCAAATGAAGCAATGTTGTTATATTATTATTTTTTCTGTCCTTTTTTTTTTTTTTTTTTTTTGGGATCGACACATGGGCAGCAGTCAAACGACGTGGAAAAGCAGAAACCATCATAAGAACGCAGACACCTCGTTAGGAACGAGAAAAAAATTCATGTTTTTTAACTTTTCTATTTATTATGGCTACTGTAAGAAATTATTCAACGATTTTCATACGTCAGTGTGGTATTTTTAATTTACACGCAAAATTTTACCATTAACTATCGAAAAATCAAATATAACGTCTTTATCAACATTTTCCCTAACATTGTATGCATTAAAAGATTCCAGTATATGTATGTGAAAGCATTTTTTGTTTTTTTAAGAGTGCCATATTCTTAAAATATATTTTGTATCGTAGAAATTTGCAAGTTTAAACGTTGTCATTCATTGAAATAATCGACTTCCATAAGGAAAATTGGAAATACTTATTTTTTATTTGAATAATATTGAACATTTTCCGTGTATATAAACATAAAAGATTTATCGAACGTATACCATTTTTTTTTTGCCCTTTCTCAACGTTGTTATTCTCTTTTGACGTTTCGACGCCAACATTGTAACCTTTTCATTATTATGACAATTATATTAATTGAATTTAATAACATAACGGCGGTTATTAAACATTCGCAGACGGACCTGTCACTAGTCTTTTTTTTTTTATTTCGCGTTAATCAATTGTTGTCTGGAGGTCGCGATCATCACGAGAACCTTTTGAAATGGCTGGAAAAAGCTGCCGCACCCTTTGGCCGAGGAGGGGAGGGGTTATACGAGCGACTGCGCGCCGAAAATTCAATGAGTTTTCTACTTTACCCAAGTCACCCGCACACGTGTCGGATATGATTCAACTCTATTAGAATGGTTGTTTTTTACACCAGGTTGTTCTCACTTTGCACCGCCAACTCGGACCGACTGTTGTTTGAAAACCGAGTGAATAGACATCGAGGTACTTGTCGAACTGGAATGGATATTTTTAGAAATGTTATTATTTATCGCAACGCTTTGATGTTCAACGGTAAATTGGTAAATTTATTATGAGTAATCAAACGGCTCGTGAACTTTCAGCGTACCCTTTTTAGTATAAATACACTGAATAATCACAGTCAAGTATGTTCGATGTGAACGCGGCGTTAAAAATAAAATAATCGTGTATTTATGTAACCTAAAATTGTTCTGGCAGTTAAAAAGTTATCGAATTACAAAGACAACAATAACTACCTGTGGCGTAAAAGTTTTTAATGGGCAATTCTAATTATAAACGAGATTGCTAATTTGATTTTGATGAAAAGGCAACAGGGGCGCTATAAATATGCCCACTTTGAAGGTTTCATTAAAAACTTAATAATAATACTGCGGTATTATTATTAGTTGATTGAGTTACCGGTACTTTTGTAATAGTAACTCGGCATTTAAAGAGATATAAAACAAAAAAACTATTGTGATGAAAACTGTAAATCCGTTAGTCGTGACTGACCGATGTTGATGAATATTCAAGTTGTCTCATTATATTTGTTCGGGTGTTTTTCCAATTCATTCAATTTATAAAAGCTCAAACGTTCAATTATTATTTGGAATTGGTTTGTTCTCAATTGGGTGGGTACGTGCAAAAATGGTCGGCTGGATTTTTGTGCGTATAAAATTAAAATGTCTATACATTAGGTGTTGTTTAAATCGTGAGAAACATTTGTGAATATGAAAAAAATGCACTGTAAAATAGAAAAACTCAATTAAAATGTAGTGCTAAATTATAAATTCTGACTCACATTTCTTGCCCAACTTGACGACATCGAAACACAGTCGCGCCACGATGACAATATGATGATGTAACAATCACAAATCAATAGATCGTAAAATTAATAACTTTTATTGTCATTAGAGAGATCAATATACTTATTTGTCGATAAAATACTTTTATATAATTATTCTGATACAGATAAACGTTAAAAAAATGATTAATCATCAAATTCCTCGGTTTTATTTATTCAATTCTTATTATCGATATTATAAATACGGACCAGTCTTAAATCGGTTTATTTTGATAATGTTTTGAAAAAATATATATATTTTATGCGCTTACGGTAATTTTCATAGGTATTCACGAGGAGTATCCGGAGAATATACGATGATTAAACCTCTTAGGTTTTCATTGTTTACATTGCCATTGAAAGTATGTATCGAGTGAATAAAAAGTGCTTGTAGTAATAAAATCGAATAGTGTTATGTAAAGTTTGACAAAAGTTGCGACGACCAATTTAAATTAAATTACGAGTTTTCCAAAGGTTATACTCGCCGTCTAAAAGGGATTCGAACTTGAACTTGAGACAATAAGTAATAAATCCTATGGCCCCAGCCGTTTTGGTCTATTACTCTAAGTGAGCGCGAAGAAAAATTCGAAAACCGGCACTGGTATTCAAATGTTTATTCAATCACGGAAACCGCGTTTATTATTATTATTTTTTTTTAAAAAGCTCAAGTCTCTGAGCTTAAAGTCGCGCACTAAATTAGCAAATCGAACGAAAACCAAAGGGGAACCATTAGCATTCCTTTGGCGCCCCACCGCCACCACATCCGATAAAATATTCAATTGTACACTGTAGTATAGGTTACGATAAACAAGTTATTTTTCTTTGACCTCTGACTGTATTGATATTACACTTCAGTGTCAAGGCCGAATAAATATTTCAACGCGTTACTATCCAACTTTAATTGATTTGAAAATAACAAAGTACTTTGAAACGCATTAGTAAGCGATTACATGCCTTACAATGATTACATTGTCAATAACAAAAACTATTTAATTCGACGGTCGTCGAGAGTGTGCAACGTTTTCGTTGCAAATTTGATGATTCGATTGCAGTGTTTTCAAAAACCCAATTGCCCATAATAATTTCCCGAGGTTCTGGTACAGAGACATTGTAAGACTTGACCGTTTATTTCACAGTTGAACTTTTATGTCATCCTTTGTGCTCGTACACAATGGAAACGGCCAATGTCAATGACCGACATTTAAATCGGCCCGAGTTGTCACTGAAGTCTTACCGCCGCTCCGTTATGGCCCCATACAGTCCCCTACTGGAATCATCATGGTAACCTTTATTACGTTTTCTAATGTGTCGTTTTATGATGGTTACAACTCGTGTAACCCGAAAAAAACGTGCTACTCGACGATATGTTTCTCCACTTGCTTACCGCGTCTCTTTGTGTATCTCTTAACGTTTTTAAATTGTCACGGATCATTTGGTATGGAGAAAAAAAATCAGGTCTCATACTTTTGCTGCTCGAGGAGAGGGTAGAACTGCAGGCCCATCTGGAACCAACATGCACACCATGAATCATATTGAACATAACGGCACGTCCAGGTCGACACATGAAGGTTACACAGTCAGTTTGCTGGTTATCTTTTTTTTTTTTTTTTTTTTGTTTTTGTTTTTTTATATTCCCATCCGTCTTGAGTAATGCGATGATTTATCGACGGTCATGCCGAGTATTGGATTTGATAAAAAAATATACATCCAAGTACTGTTCTACGTGGTAATGATTCGGACCACCGCTCCTCTCGTCCGTAGTGGCGTAAGTATATAAATTTTAGCTCAACGCAAAAAACCTTTGCGATTCAGTGAAAATTCAATAAGGAAATCGTGCAGAGTCAAAGAAAGTTCGTTAGATTTAAGGCGACCGTTGAATTGTCTTATTTACGGCGGCACCACCGGTCGTTGGTGACGTTAACAATTTTTTTCATACTGCCGCGTCTGTTAAAAAACCCAACGAGCGTGTCGCTCTATTTATTGTTATCACGTGAAAAAATATACAAATTAGTCGTCACTCCGTTAGGCTTAAAACGTACAAATAAAATGTCGTCCCTTCGAGGCGGTCCTCTCTATTTATAAATGCTAATAAATACCATTCGTTTTCAGTGGAAATGTATTGGAGTTAATGTACTTAGACAAGATTAATGTGAACCTTCACGGTGTCTATGTGTGGCCAATTTTTCGCGCGTCACTTAATACGACGGGCATCTAAAAAAGCCGTCTCGGAAATTAATCATGGCCGCGCGAACAAAATTATTAATTTAAGTTGTCCGCCTCCACTGGGAAATCAAAAATGTAATAATTTTCCTTGTTCGTCCCACACCGTTAGAGCCTTGCCCGGCGAAATCAGTCCATTTAACGACGCGACTGTGGTCTCGTTGACACTGCCAAAACGGCGACTTGGTGCGGTTTAGACGGCGGCCGTTCAACTTGTTTGCTGGCACACGTGTCGCCGGTGCGCGCCAAGGTGTCGTGCGTAGGCCACGTGTGTGCCTGTAAAAGGCCTTCCTTTTCGTCAGTCCGAGTGTCCGTTCACGCCAATTTAGAGCGACACGTCCCAGACAAATTCAACGCACAGAAACGAATCGTCAAGACTAGGCGGTCAATAATGTTTCTTTAAAGTCCCAAAATCATGCACTCAACAAACGCACACAATGCCATTGTGTGTCGGTGTGCATTTTTTAAACTTTTTACACGTCCTCGGATATTTAGACTCGGGTATCGTCAGACGGTTCCCCGCGTATGCACTTTACTTTATTCGTATTAGTCTACCAATCGCGTACGACAGCAACAGAACTTTGTCGTCCGACCATAGAACCACACGAGGATGTTATTAATTCATTATGAAATCCATACAGGTTTTTAATGTTTTTCTAGAATTCGTAAGTGCAATTTTTATAGATTACGTATTTTGGGTTCTTGAATTTCAATTAATCTAATGGAAAACGATGGATTATGATTTTTATTGCTTTGAATCGATATTCGCAAATAGTTATTTTTTCTTCTAAATTTTTTTTTATTAATGTCTGATTTATTTTCCAAATTAAGGTCATTACGCACGAAAAGAGTTTTATTTTAATGAATATTTTATTTTAAGCTCAACTGAACGGTATTTTAAATCGAATACATATCACGTGAGGCATATTAAAATTGAGTTGATTTACTTACTTTTTTGCATGCCCAACTCATCTATGCTCATAACTAAGTTTAGCACTAGAGTAAGCATACCGTTTGACGTCAATAACTTTAATAAAACGGCGTCTATTTTTAACGCCTATGGGTTAACCGATTAATGTCATTTAACATTTGCTCACCCTCGACTCGTGTTTGTTTAAACGAACGTCGTGTATTGCAGGAAATAAACGCGTCGATGGTTTTCACCGTTGTGACTTTTTATTTGACCTAGTTCTATTTGTAATTTAACCGTAACGTAAAAATAACACGGCAAAACTGGTGGCACTCGTATTGCAGCCCTTACCAGTCCGCAGCGCGACACCGACGAGGTTTTTTTTTAGAAACCACGTCCCATCGCTCTGCCAATCGAGCGGGTCGTGCCATGAAGTATTTACACTTGTGGGCATGGCGAAAAAAAAAGGGTTGTTAAACAGCGTGCAACAAGTCGCACTAGTAGTCTGTAAAGTCAAGTGTCACGAACAAGCGTTTAGCTGAGAATTACCCCGAAAAGTGGCACACGCCAGTCGCTTCGATTGTAAAACACAAGTGTGCAATTATTGCGCGGACCCGACACAAAATCTAACGAAACGGCCGCGTTATCGCAATCGAACAATTTTATCCGTTTTTGGGCACACGCGCGACATAAAAAACAGCTTGCGGACGATGCCTACAAACTAACATCCTCCTGTTTCCTAATACGACTCGCTGGAGAAACCGGCGCCTCATTAAGTCGTTCAACACGAATATACTTTTACGATGTTTTGTGCGAGAAATGTGCCGACATTTTACCGGACTAATAGGATGGCGGTGTAGGTCTCAATGTGGTAGTTTTTTTTATATTTTCCCTGGACATTTCGAGTGTGTAGAGTAATTCGTGTCCATCGAAAAGTCAATTGATTTTCCGTTGAAAAAATTCGTGTAAATTTAAAACGTATAAAAGGGTTACGTTATTCAAACGTTACTATCGAGTGAAAAAAGTACACGTAACGCACAAATAGTTTTTTTAGGTCGTGTTTGCCTATGTTTTTATAAATAAATCTGCTATTGCTATTGCAACTTTGCTCGAATTCGGCTTATTGTCTAAGCAGCAAGTTCGTGTACTATTCCGAGCTTGGGATTTATCGTAAAATAAAATGCTGTAATTTTTTTTTTTTATATTTAACGTTTACTCATCGCAAACATCGCTACATGTGCGGCGAATTAAATAAAAACTTTGAAGTGTTCCGTTGGTAAACACTTGTGTGGAATGGCGGCAATTTCGCCGGTTATCAGCGCCAAGGACACGGTGCGACCAGACGATTGGCATCAAAACGTAAAAATATAAATTTGCCTATTGTTCCGGACGACAGTGTTTACGGACCACTGTGTTTTACACGCTGGCCGATGAGACAGATAAAAAAAATCTTTTCGGGGGTCGCCGAGTACACCGCCGGCGTGTTGCTGTTCAGACAATTTGTTACCGCAGCAAGTGGTCGCGTGACTGCCAATTTTTTTTTTGTGTAAAATTATTAGTATGAATGAAGTGTAGAGAAAACGACGCGATTTTTACGTCGTCTCGACCCGATCTCGAGTGTGCTCGTGTTAATATAATTGGCGCACTCGTTCAACAACACATAGTAAACGAGCCATTAAAAATTATTTACCGCGTGTTGCACTCACAGCGGATGGTCAATGGCATGAAAAAAAAAAAAAAATGCTCGAACCAACGGCGTCGGCTATTAGAGGTGCCCGCGCTAATTAGTAATTATTATGATTTATGTATCGACAAAACGGAGTCGTGTAATGCACTTGTAGTTTTTTGCTGTTGTTGTTGTCGCTACCGATACGTTATTGTTGTTGATGTGGTGTTTCGATACTGTGTTCGTAACTGCCGCTACTGGATCACGAGGTCACGGGATCGACCATCACAAGAATAACCAGACGGTAGCGTATAATTTCAAAATCCAGTGGATGCCGTAGGCCGCGCGTGTTGACCGCCGAGTAAATAATGTAAAAAACTTACTTACGACACATAACTGTTATTATGTACCATTAAAGGAACACTGGGCGTGCGGCGCAAGGCGTTTTATTCGAGTATTAGTCGTCTCCGACACTGTCGAACGTTTCAGCAATGTTTTCGTTGACAGGTGTGAAACGATATTATTATTGGTAAAAATGCCCGTCGATTTGTTTACATTATTCTCGATTTCGTTTTCGTTAGTTTGTCCTACTTCAGCGGTTTACAATTGAAAATCACGCGTAGAATGCACCGCGTCGTGGTAAAATATTTCATGACATCCGGTCGGCTATTGATTTTACTGCGTACGTACAAACAGTTGTGTACACAACTCGGTGAATAAATAATTGATATTAAGTAGACGCGAATTTGTCAAAAATAAAATGTCGAGGCAGTAATTCAATGACCATATCTGAAGTCGGCTTGAATCGTTTCTGTTGGTCGCAGCGTTGATTGTGAACATTCGTGTAAGAGGTGTACATATCAGCGGCACACTACATTAGTTCTAAAGCCGTTGAAAATCCAGTGCGTCCGATTAACACTCCTTTTTCAAATGTACTTTAAACAATGTTCCATTAAACGAGTTGCAGTGAAATCTCTGCGACTTTTTCGACTTTCCGAGAACTTTTACTGTTTCAGTATGTTCCGAGTATTTCTTTGGCCTTTTCTATTCGGCTAAACTCAAATGCTAGTCTAGTGCCGGAAATGTTTTACCCTTTAGCCGCAAAAATAGTTTAAAAATCCACACTCGTACGGTTTAATGCACTGGGAGAGCCGTCGAGTGTTAATCGTTTCGATACGTGTTACTTTACTTTTTATTTTGGGGAATACGCCAGTCATTTTTCAACACATTTTTGTATAATTGATTTCCCGAAATAATAATATTCTAACACGGCTAATATTTATGCATATTCGGATATCATCGCCTCACAGCTAATTGAATATTCATATCTGCGACAAAGCGGTCCCTTGGTAAATCGATTAATGTTAGTCGATATACTAACTCGACGACAACTCGTATATTATTTTAATTTTAAACATTTTTTCTTGAAATAAAAATTCGTTTTTCGCTCATCTTGTTTTTTATCATTACAAATGCATATTTTCTATACCAGTGTTTTTAGTCATCCGTTCGGATCTGCGTTGATCCTCTGGATTTAAAAATACCGTACGCAATACTGTTAGTAAGGAATGCGCTCGAGTTTTTTACATAAAATACGGGTGGTCCGAAAAATATGCCCATGACGGCGCTGAGTAGAATAAAAAAAAAAAATGTACGCAGATCAATCACATGATGTGCATACTTTTATCGAGTCGTTCAGTAAAATAATAAGTCGAACTACGACGTGTAGTCCAAATGTAATCGCACTAAAAAAAACAATGTTTCCGTTACAGGCCGGTGGCAGACGATTTTTAATCGCTGTGATTTTTAAGTGCACCGTCGCAAATATTTTGTTTACTGCAACGTAGCATGACGTTAATGCGCTGGACAACATAACACACTACACTCGGAGTGCATTGCAAATAGGAGTGGCGGTGTGCTAAAATTAAATTTCGTTTTCAAGGTTCATAATATTATTATTGCGGACTGATGCTTGTGTTGTTGAACCCGATGCAATTATGCACTTGAGAATAAAGTGGGATAGGTAAAAGGGAAAGGCGGGGGAAGTGTGTAACCCGCAAAGACATGAAAAAATACGCGAGGAAAAAGTTACGATGCAAAAAATATGTACAATGTATATAACGACGTGAAACTAGTAAACATATTACGCGACTTGAAATAATTTTAGCGCACCAACTCCGATAGGTGGTACTCTGCGCAATAAGCTGTTACACTGAATTTTTTTATGATGATTGCGAACTTCAATTGACACCAAGTTATTTGTGTGATTGCACAAAATAAAAATTATCGTGTAATTAGTTTCTTTACTCGCAACGGAAACACTCCAATTACACGATGAAAAATAATATTTTCGGTTTGCTTTTACTGTTAAAATTAATGAATTATCCAATGTGTTGGTCAGCTAATTATCTGTTGTTAATAGTGGCGAATTTGGGATGGAACTTTAGATAAACTAAAAAATGTACAAATTACCGTACCAGTAATACAAGCAGAAACTTTGCTAGGGGCAAAATATAGTTTCAAATTATTTTTATGAAATTTTTTTTTTGCTCTTAAAACTTCTAAAAATACAAAAATTACTAATTCAGAAACTCATGTAAAGAAAAGAGATAAACAAAAAATGTTTACTACCCTTTTCATTGGATCATTCCAAAAACTACTTTAAAGCATTTTTAAAAATACGCCACTGGTAGTTACTTTGTTTTTTGTGTTTAAAAGAAAAATTCGTCATAATTAAGAAAGAGTAATATTTATGGAGTTAAATCACTTGATTTAACTCTCATTTTAAATCTCTCGAGACCTTTAAAAGTTAAAGGAAGGCGTCAAAGAAATTCAAAAAGTGTTTACCTAATGAAAATATTAATTTAACATAAGGTGTTTTGAGCTCTGGATTTTAAAAGCTATTTTCATTAAAAAAATTAATTTCAGTGTGTTACTTAAACACTTTCTTCGAGTAAATTATTCATACTAATGATGTATTATAACAATAAAACATAGACATATTTTAGCATTAATTTCTTAAAAAGTCGCTTTCTCTTGACTTTTTATCTACTTATGTGTTGAAAAATTTTACTTTTAGATAATGTGTA